AAACTGTCAGTAGTTCTAGATGATTAGCATGAGAGATCTTTTTCTCAGGTGACCAAAAACTATGAGACTTTTGCCCTGACCAACCAATGTCCCAGCCCTAGAAATGATGCAACTAAAAATTGGATAATTGAATACCTCTGACCGCATCTGCCAGTTACTTTGATCACCAGCCGAGGCATAAGTTATGTTATGTTAGTGACCTATTAGAGTTAAAGTTCCCTTGAGAATTTTACATCGTTAGTGTATAGTCGGCTGTAACGAAATGGAAGATAAGCTGACACCAAGATCCCGATGGTTACCCCAAAGTTCCGGACTCTGTCTTGGTTGCTGTTCATTATTGCCCTTACTAGGTTTAGTGATGTCTGCGTCGCCTGCTCAAGTAAATATACCTTCTTCTGTCACAATTTAATACTGTACCTTAAAGTGCCCAATTTTTCCTTAAGGTATGCCGGAAATGGTTTTATTAACTTTGTGAACACATGAGGGGCACAGTTTACCCCAAACGGTAAGCATTGTATTGGAAGAGCTATCCCTTGAATATGAATCTGAAATATATTCTATGACTCTCCCTGATGGGTACATAAATCTCTGCGTATTCCAAATCCAGATTCGTTAAGAAAGTATCTCCACGGAGAAGTCTGATCCCAGTTCAATAGCCTTCTAACTTGAGTGTTCTATCCCTATAAACAGATAAAGTGTCTTGACGTAAGGAATCAAACGTGTTGACCCATCAGACTTGAAGGCAAGAAAAAGTTGGATTTTTAGTCATGCTCAACTTTTTTACTGATAGCACCGCAGCTAAGCAATTGAGAGACTGTCGAAGGTCGGTAGTTCATAAATGGACTAATGAGAATCAGCTATGGCAGAGTGCTAAGCCAGCCGCCATGCGAATGGCAAGTGACCAGTCGAACGCCACATTGATGATGAGTACGCGTAAATCTTCCTGCTGATCTACGTACCTCGTCTGCAATAATCGGAGATGGCTGATATTGTCCGGCCTTTTGGCCTTGAGTTGTTGCTTATATTTATATGAGTTCTATTTAGAATTGAGGGGTTTCCGGGAAAAACAACATTAGTCACTTTTTGTTGAAATTGAGTTGGCAACGCTGTTGTGTTCTACATGTTTCAATGCTGCTTTCTGATGTTTAAGTTTCCCGTCAAAAGCATATATCTCCGTCTGAAATGCGTTTAAAGAATCGTCGGTTCCATAAGAACGACATTAGTCAACATAGGTTTATCAAAGTATATTAAAAAGCCTGAACATACAATGTTTTATAAAAGGTTGTTAAATACTCATAAACAAGATACTGAAGACAATAATGCAAAAATAGACAATGACGACAACAGCAGTGGAAATAGTGACATAGAATAGAAATATTGTTATACAGTTAGAATACTTTTGAAGAATATGCTTTTTTCCTGAAATACTTTTAGAATACTTTTGAAGAATAAGTTGTTTTTTTTTCTGAAATACTTAAGTTTCGTTTCAATAAATATATATAAAAAATATTCTTGGTTAACAAGCCTCTTTCTAAAAAATTCCTAAAAAACAACATTTGTCACCACGTTTTTGTGTTTTTTTTATTCACAAATCCATTTTTTTTTCTTGAAATACACCTTAAAATATATAAGATGCCTCCTTACATGGCCTGAATACTAAAAAAATGCGTTTCACAGCAGTATAAGCAACAAAATCAGTTTTTGTTAATTTGCCACATTTTTTGTTTCCTGACAAATGTCGTTTTTCCCAGAAACCCCTCAATTGATTTACTTGGTCAGACCTACACCGAACAGCAAGTTATCAACTGAAGCCTCTGTTAGAATGCGGCTGAAGTTCCGATCGATCACGTTCTGATCGAAACGGTAAAAGGCAGCAGTGACGAAAATTTGCCATTACCACTTCTACTGACGTAATTTGGGTCCAAATAAACATAAATCGATGCGGTTTTCACGTAGTTCGATTGTATTAGTGGCTTTTTATGTACTGTAATAGTTTTATCTCCCTCCTCCAAAATCTTCCTCAAAGTGAGGAGAAACGCGAAAAAATTGATATTGCATTAAAATAAACGTGGAGAAATGCGGTTTTCACGTAAATTGATTAGAAAAAGCATGTTTTACCTACGCTAAGTTCAAATCCGTGCTATCTCGTTCACAGATACCCCAAATTGACTCCCTTTAAAACCTAATATTTTAGAAGCTATCATCTATAGCTCTTCAAAACCGCCCAAGACCAAAATGTTTTGGACACTTCTCACATGAATATGACCTAGTCAATCACACCATATCAGCCGTTTCCCCGAACCAAGTCCGGAACCCCCCGTTTTTGCCCCCTCTTTGTTTATACATAGCAAATTTGAAAAAATCTATTATCCGTCAGAACGGACGAAGACCAAAAATTTTTTTTACATTTCTGGCATCAATATAATATACTCTATCACACTCTACCAGCCGTTTTCCCAAAGCAAGTCCGGAACCCCCCGGTTTTGACCCCTCTTTGTTTATACATAGCAAATCTGAAAAAATCTATTATTCGTTAAAACACCCGAAGACCAAAAAGTTTTTTACATTTCTGGCATCAATATAATATACTCTATCACTCCAAACCAGCCGTTTTGCGAAAGCACATCCGCAACCCCCCGTTTTTGACCCCTCTTTATTCATACATGACAAATTTGAAAAAATCTATTATTCGTCAAAACAGCCTATAACCAAAAAGTTTTTTACATTTTTCGCATCAATATAACCTACTCTATCACACGTTGCTAGCCGTTTTCCCAAAGCAGGTCCGAGTAGATTTTTTCTAATTTGCTATGTATAAACAAAGAGGAGTTCCGGACGTGCGTCCGGTAATCCGCCAGTAGGGAGTGATAAAGTAGATTATATTGATGCCAGAAATGTAAAAAACTTCTTGGTCTTCGGCCGTTTTGACGGATAATAGATTTTTTCAAATTTGCTATGTATAAACAAAGATAGGGCAAAAACGGGGGGTTCCGGACTAGCTTTGGGAAAACGGCTGGTAGGGTGTGATAGAGTAGGTTACATTGATGCCAGAAATGTAGAAAAATTTTTGGTCTTCGGCCGTTTTGAGGAATAATTGATTTTTTCAGATTTGTCATGTATAAATAAAGAGGGGTCAAAAAGGGGGGTTCCGGACTTGGTTTGGGGAAACGGCTGATATGGTGTGATTGACTAGGTCATGTTCAAGCGAGAAGTGTCCAAAACATTTTGGTCTTGGGCGGTTTTGAAAAGCTGGGTATCTGTTAACGAGATAGCACGGATTTGAACTTAGCGTAAGTATAATATGCTTTTTCTAATAAATTTACCTGAAAACCGCATTTCTCCAGGTTTATTTTAATGTAATATAATTTTTTTCGCGTTTCTTCTCACTTTGAGGAAGATTTTGGAGGCGGGAGATAAAACTCTTACAGTACATAGAAATACATTAATGCAATCGAACTACGTTTATTTGGACCCAAATTACGCCAGTAGAAGTGGTAATGGCAAATTTTCGTCACTGCTGCCTTTTTATCGTTTCGATCAGAACGTGATCGATCGGAACTTCAGCCGCATCTGTTAGAGTACTCTTGAGTTCTTTGCTTACATGTGAATATCTGACAGCATGGGTAGAGGAGAGAGTATTGCCACTTGCAGTTAATGATCAACTCATATGTTGCTGGACAGAGACCTAGCGCACATCATTGCGGGCGACAATTTCTATTATAGCGGCTGCTACCTCAGGGTTTACCTTAGGTGGCTATAATTGAACAGAATTTATTCATCTATCGTCATCAACAAGACCTGCTCTCGAAATGGCAGCCTTGGAACAATGCGCCAACAATAATTATATTCTGCTCCGCAACGAAGGGAATCTTGAAGGCGACCTTCCGTTGGCGTCTCGCAGAAAATGCACATCTATCGGCCCACCTTCGCTCCAGTTGTCTAATATTTATGTTCCCCGATTCCTGAATGAGCAGTGCGGTGTTACCCGCTTGGCACGAGAACAAGAAATGAGAGTTTGTAGGCGTAGGCGCGTAGGCCAGATGCTGGACAGGAGGAAGGTGGGAGGATGCGGTGAGCCGCTTTTCTTCGCTGCGTACGCGCTTTGAACTCGTGGGTTTGGTCGGAATCGGGATACCACTCTAACGAGACGAGGCCGGAACAGAATAAATAATCTTGATGTTTCTGCTAAGTCTTGTTACACGTTGATTCATGTTCTGGTTTTGATATGAAGGAGTTTTTTTATCGATGTTCGTTAGGTTGTAGCAGTCTTCTCCTCGCGGACTATAGTGATTGAGTTTTTACAGTAGATCACATTCGTTTATTTGCGTTTCATTGTCTGTCACTAGCGAATTCGTGTATGGTGGGCCATGATCACAGAGACGGAAAGCAAACAGCAAACATATTCAGTGCGACCCAGGTTCCAATCCACTCTTGTATATGTTTTAACGAACGAATTCGAATATATTAGAAGAAGACAAGCCTATAGGTTTACATTGCATTGTTTTCCACCAAAATTGTGTAGTTTTAGTGCATACTTTTGACTCATTTGACTACCATTGCATACCAAAGTGACAACGTTGTAGATATCAACATACTAACACTTACCGATGGAAACACTTACGTTCATTAGGCTTGTGCCACCCTTTGCAAATTATCTAAGAAGCACCAAACACCACCATTATCCGCACTAAAGTACGAATTTAATGACAGAACTGTCAAAAAATAACTTATGTCAAGTCCACTTGTAGTATGCAGTTTCATTCTGACTACAGACTGAGGTTTTGGAGACATTCAATCCTTCTACCTAGTCTGAACTCGTTGGTTTTTACAGAGATAACATGTTTAAATTCATATACTTGTCGAAATTGCGATTTTATATTGTTGTTTATGCCTGGTTTATGCCAGACTGTAACTCTGATATTTGACAAGTCGAGGGGATATGACATCTTTGCCGAAACCGTATTCTTTCTTCCAGTAGAAACATACCAAAAAATGTTTAAGATCTCTATTTTTCGATAACAAAGTTTGCTTATTCTTAGTCATTTATATCTATTCCGTACCTTGTATTTGACATCTTCGGGTTGTAGCTTGAAGCTCTTCAGATGTGGATCCACCTTTTCGCTCACGTAGGTATATTTACGGGATGAAAAATCGGTACCTCCAATTGGCACCCTAGCTAGATTATATTCTATCCCATCTTTGGAGTAATATGATCTGCGTAAACACATAAAGTTATTTTTTTGAATATCTCATAAGTTGATCGTATATAAGTGGTAAGGATATCGGTTTAAAAATAGCGTCAAGTAAATTGACTCTATACTTTCCACGGATTCAAAACAATTGCTAGTACAAGTTTTCATGTAGTGCAATGACATCAGAAAGATGTAGGTTTGTGAGATCCATCAATGCATTATTTGGGCTTTTCAAGAAAAAATATTACTCAGATTGCAACAAAGAGCCGTATCCGTACACGGTAACCTCATTTTTGGGAGCTCTGGTGTGAAGCTGTTTGTTGTTTGGTATCTGGTTTTAATAGCACTTGGTATGTACCTATACACTATGAGACTATATATCTTACGAAATCAAGTAACCAGTTGCAATTCAAGCATAATGCTCGTATATAAAGATAATATCACGCCAACCTCGTATGTGCACATCGCATCACCTGCTACCTGTTTTTTTTGTCGCAACGAATCTAGCAATGCATGAGCCTGATTCTAATTGAAGTTCGACCGATGAAGTTAATTTCGATATCACCTTGCCGTCATATATTTGATCCACTATGATAACTTTGAGACTGCCATGATAATTTGATAGCTAGAATCAGGTGTCAAAATTATTTATCATACCGGTATATATGCATAACGGAATCGCGGCATTGAAATTAATTTCAACAATATGAATTCATTTAGAATCAGGCCCCTGGGTTTAACTCTAAATCGAGACAGAGTTTGCTGCACGAAGGAAGGAAACCCTTGATCGAGGCTTGATACGCGTTTTAAGAGCAGAGGAAAAATCTATGATATGTGAATTATGTGTAATACACAGGGTGTTAGGGAAATAATATTCGTAACTTTAAGAGGTGATTCCTTGCATTGTTCTAAGCAAAAAAGTTCTATATAACCTATAACCTATGTCCGCAAATTAACCGTTTCGGAGCAAAAAAATGCTGAACTTATTTCATTTTCGTCTTGAAATAAATTAATTTTGCACCTTAATAATTTAAATTCATGTGCCTAGTAGCGTAAAATGTATCAATACATCTATTTATTAATCAACCGTATCTAACAAAATAATTTTCTTGCTTATTAAATACAATTTTCCGAAGAAAAATAGACAAACAAAATTCCTCATACAACTGGCAACGTTGTACTCCGCCTGCACTACATGAGTCATCGCGTGTTGCTCACGACTGACATCGTGCCGGTAGGCAAAAAAATAAATACCTACATCCCGAAAAAATTATTTGATGGTTTCTTGCATTACGTTAATCCAAGTAATGTTTACCCGAATTGAAATCACATTTTATTATTCAGTATATGTTACTGTATCAGTGCGTGCATTTTGATATGGAAGGGATGTTTTCGGTACGCGAGCATCACGATATGCTTATTATTTACGGAGAGGCTCATTGCAATTCTGAGGAGGCTAGGCGCATCTACGAAGAACGTTTTCCTGATCGAAGGCTGCCACCTATCAGAACATTCGTAGAAGTATCCCAAAGACTTCTGGACACAGGGAGCGTAGTGCCTAATTTTAACAATCGCGGAAGATATCGTGAAGTTGGAGTAGAAACCGAGGAACAAATTTTGAATTTAATTGACGAGGATTCGACACGGAGTACGAAAAGTATTGCTCGTCAAGTCGGTGTCTTACACTGGATTGTACATCGGTCCCTTAAAGAACAGTTATTGTACCCATATCATGTCCAGAGGGTTCAAGCTCTTTCGCCTGAAGATTTTCCACGAAGATCAAATTTTTGTAATTGTTTTTTGGGTAAACACCAAGGAAATCACAATTTTGTAGCGAACGTGTTGTCAACAGATGAGTCTGGTTTTACAAGAAATGGAATTTGGAATTTTCACAATTTTCATAATTGGACAGACGAAAATCCCCATGCAATTGCACAGAAAAGTTCTCAGTATCAATTTTCTGTTAATGTGTGGGCTGGAATAATTGGTGACCAATTAATAGGACTATTTTTTGCCACATCGCTTGAACGGTGAGAGCTACTTAGCTTTTCTAAAAGAAAATTTGCCCGTTTTGTTGGAAACAAGAAAGAATATGTGGTACTTGCACGATGGTGCTCCAGCATAGGCTGGTCGAGTAGTTGTGGAACATCTCAATAATACCTATGGCAATAGGTGGATAGGAAGAAATGGTCCAAACGCCTGGCCGGCTAGATCCCCCGATCTTGATCCATTAGATTTTTTCTTCTGGAATTTTTCAACGAGTTAGAGAAAAGTGGGTTCGACGGTGTCAAGCTTGCGTAGATGCCCATCGTTCCCATTTTAAACATCTATTGTGATTACAAATACATTTAACTGTAACTTTATGTGATTGACGGATGTTGTTTCTTTTTCTTTTTTCGTGCATCGCATCGTTTCAAATAAGTGACTGATAATCGTGGGAATTGGTCGTGTGTATCGCCACGTACCGGTAAGTTCTGCCATTTTTTTTTAAGTAAATGTACTGTACTGAAAGCGTTACCAAATAAAAAAATATTAGCCACAAACGATCGCGTAAAAGTATTCAATAATTCAAGGCATATTTTCAACAAAAATATCATAGAAACGTAAACAATTGGTTGAGAAAATTTAATTAGTTACATCTCACTTTCCTCGAAAATGATTGATTTCCGGATATATGTTACAATGAACTTTTTTGCTTAAAATAATGCAAGGAATCACCTCTTAAAGATACGAATATTATTTCCCTAACACCCTGTATGGTCTTCCCAAATTACGAGGTGCACTCCAGTCTAAGAAAGAACGGGGAAGTTGTGACTTTTGTAACCAGCTGTCTTTCCTATTCCAGAGACGTTTCTTTGGAATCAGACTCGAAGCACATTTTGAGGCTTCACCTCAACTCCAAACATACCCTAAATTTATTTGCTGCCTTTATCGCCCTCCCTCGGACCGTAACTGGGATGACCTACTTGAATACCTCGCTGTCTAGATCGACTTCCTGAACATCACCCACCATGCCTCAAAGGACTGACCCAGCTGGCGATGAGCCCCACTTTTTTACTCCGCGTTTCGTCACACGACAATAGCCTGCTGGATCTCTTTCTGACCACGCATCCTATCCCTTACAGCACTGCTGTCCTGTCTCTCATGGGTAACTCAGAGCACGGTGTTGTGGCGGTTAGATTTCAGTCAGAACCCGCTGTGGCAATTTGACATTACGAACATGCCGACTGGGAGGGGCTCAGATATTTCTTCACCTTTTCTTGGAGAGATCAAGGCACACAGAACCTTTTTACAAAGAAGTACTTTTCTCAGCATGACCTCCTCACTCTATATACAAGGCCCAGATAAGACCTAGTCTCAAGTACTGCTTACACGTTTGGGGTGTTGCTACCCCGACTACATTAGTAATACTCGATGCTGTCCAGAGGGGTGTCCAATTGATCGATAACACTTCTCTAACAAACATTCTCAGGAACCTTTCTCACCGGCGGGCTGTCGGCGATCTAGCTACCGCTACACCAACGGGTTTTGCTCCTCAGAGCTCTCCTCCATGATGCCGCCGCGCGACTTGCCTCCCAGACAAACCCGTCTAGCTTCGGCCTCCCATCGTAACTGTGTCGAACTTCATACATCCAGAACTGGCCCATACGACCGCTCCTTTGCCCCGAGGGTGTCGAGATTGTGGAACACTCTACAAGAGGAGGTTTTTCCCGGTTCTACTAACCTTAGGCAGTTCTAAATTCGGATTAACAAATTTCTTTGGGATCTTCATAGCAGCCGCGGTGACCTGTCATTTAGGCTTCTGCCTGCGCGGCTGCTTCGGTTTAAAAAAATAATAATAGGTGAGTAGAATTTCTGGTGTTACAAGTAAAACAATATAGTGACATATAAAAACTTGTGATTCACCCTCCGCTACAAAGCCCCACTACCCAATGTTTTACCCCTATATTTTTTAAAAAAATTGAAAAAATAAAAAGCTTAACATAGTAACTTTGTGTAAAAATTTGATCCAAATCCGTGCAGTACTTTCTAAGATATAGACGGACCAAGAATTAGAGGACAGACCGACAGACAGATAGACCAACAGGTAGACCGGCGGATATGAGTGACATGGTTTTTCGTGATGTATATGTCATATTAAAACATAAAAAAATCATAACATCTCATTTTCGAAAAATTTTGCGCTTACAATATTTCCTCAATTAGTAGGCATGTGAAGTAAAACCGTAAATATGTCAATTTTTAGGGCGATAATTCATACACTTGTGGTCAGGTGTCTAAACTGAGGTTCAAACATTCTTCTACAAGATCCCGACACGAAATGGGATATTTTTCATTATTTATAAAAAAAGAACAGGCGTTATGATAGTTTTTTAAGCAATCCATAATTTCCTCCTAAATGCCATGTTTATTAACGTTGGCAGCCTTTGTCGCAAAGTACTATTTGAGACGCAATGTGGGCATGAATGACAAAACCTCTTTCAAATTTCAAATGCGTTCAACTTGTTGGTGTCTCCTTGTACGAGTGTCGCTCTTTCGCACCCGTATAGAAGCAGGGACCATACTCGTACAGTGTTTTCCAATAAAGTTAACACCAGCCCCCTTTTTTTGGACGGGTCGTTAACTAGTCTTGCATCATATTGCAAACAGCATATCTACGAGGTCTGTAAATTAAGTGATGAGACAGATTTTTTGAATTTTTTTCATTCAAACATTATCAAAGTAGCTTTCTTATGAAGCCCCAGACAGCGCTGGACATGGTTCTTATGCTCCTCATAGTAGTGCTGGAACTTCGAAATTGGAATGGCATTCAGGTGGGCGGTTACAGCCGCTTGAATGCATCCGACTGTTCCAAAATCACTTTCCTTGAGGTGATTTTTCAACTTCGGGAAGGGAAAAAAGTCACAAGGACTCAAGTCAGGCGAATAAGAAGGCTGAGGAGCCACATGAATGTTTTCGCTGGCCAAAACGTTTATTGACATTGCTGTGTGACAAGGAGCATTATCGCGATGCAACACTCAGTTGTTCTTGATCTGCCGATCGGTGGTGTGAGTCAAATTAAACTCTTCCCCGATCATTTTGACTCTCAACCGACGATCTGATGGCACGAGAACCCGGATTCTGTTGATATTTTCATCGGTTCTTGAAGATGAAGGCCTTCCCCATCTTCAATCGACTCTCTCCCTTCTGAAAATGCTGAAGTGTAGCAAGGTTTCCGTTGCACTGTATCCAAGTCTGAAGCGAAACGTGATAGCACACCGTTGCTCGAAATTCATGCCATTCATTTTTAGACCACAATAGGCCCAAAAAAAAGCAGGCAACTAAACGATTCGAGCGAATTCAAACTGGTACTGCAAGCGGATCATATGTTCCCCTGTCTCCCCTCCAAGCCTCGCGCCTCTAGAGTTGCCAGTCTCATCACTTAATTTACAGACCTTATTTTTCTGGCACATGTGTCTGTCATGCAGGGTGCGGCAGCATTTCATCGTTTACTCAAAACTTATAACATTTTTGTTTAATAAAAAACAATAGCGTCGTCAGGAACGACTTCGAGAAGTCGCTCACACGCGTTGATCTGAGAATTGAAGTCACGTTAAGAAACTTCTTGTATGCCATCTCGTGAGGATGGAAGTGAAGTTCAAGGACAGAAGCATGCTTGCGCGCAGAACGCAACGAGGCTAAGTTAAAGCGATTCGGAAAGGCGCGCTTGTCTAAGATTACAGAACAAAAGGCTCGAAAAGTAGGCCTCAACAACAAAAGCACGCTCATCACTGTCCAAGCGCATGATGGCGACTGAACTGAATCGAGACAAAACTTTAATAATTCCGCCTGCCGGACGTGACCACTAGCGCTCCGCTACATCAACCGACCGAATAACGCGTAGTTTTAAAAAAGAAATAATGCTGGCGCACCCTGTATACGGCGGCGCATGCTGCTGTGCCAGTTTGTTATAATGGGACACTAAGTATAAAATTATTCTTAAATGCACCTTAATATTTCTTCTTGAAGTTTCTTATCCATCGACAAAATATTCATCGCAGTAGAATCAGTTATGGCTCCACCGAACCCAACAATTTCTTGAAATGTTTGGTTTCCAACGATTATTTCATCGTCAAAACCTTTTTCTTTAGAAACAATTTGATGTAGTGTTTTCTGAAACCTCAGTCCATCTTTGTTGGATGTATATACCAAGGCCTTGTTTTTTGGTATATGGCTTTCGAGACGAACGGTATCACAGTGTTCAGCATTGCAAACGCATACTGTTCCCCCATTTCCATAGTTTCTGCTGAGGCACTGATCTGCGGAACCTTTTACTAAAACTAAAGAATTCACTTAAGTTGGCCTCCAAGTATTCGTTTGTAAATCATAGATCCGCAGATCCATCAAAACCCATTTACTTTTGGCTGATCCAAGTGGATCACTAACAAACACATTTTGGGAAAAAATATAAATGAGATGTACCTACATGTTATTTGAGGATGCATTTCTAAATATTCACAATTATACTGGGGGTCCTAATTTTGACCTATCATATCATATCAAAAGTGTAATTTTTTAAATGGAATACCTCACATTTTATTGCATACTTGGATAAACCAACTCAAAAGAAGATTGATATGTCATACTATGGGGTTTTAATAATTAGTTGCTATAGAGCTATAAGATGTCTCGTGTTGAAAAATTTGCAAATCCAGCAACCCTTCGGCTCGCTATTTTGAAAGATTTAGCGCTGAAAATTTTACCCTTATTATTCAGTAGTTTTTCAAATTATGATTTTCAAATATCAAAGTCACCATGTTTATCTTTACGTTTTCAGAGTCAACTTCTTGTAAGCTTTTCTATGAATGTCGGACAGGATTGAATCAATATAGCAATTGAGTTGTTTAGCTTTTAATTAGAGATCACATCAAACTCCAGACAAACAGTAGGCTAGTTTCAGATTGCTACCTACTAAGGTTACACTACTAACATAAAAACTAATTTTAGTGAGAACAGTATGAATCAATTGAACAACACCTATTATCACCATTTGAAAATATTCGTCGTCGTTTCGTCGTTGTCTGTCAAAGCGGTCCGTAGGACCTTTGCCTTTGTATTAAAGAATGTTGGTCAGTTTGTCAATCAGTCGGCCTGGTTACCTAGAAACCAGACAAAGTCAAACAGAAAGAGAAGGAGAAAGAATGAAGGAAGATAAGGAGTAAACAGTAAGAAATGCAGCTGTTAATCGAGGAAATGTCTAAGCATTGTAGAAACGAATGAGATGATTTTGATTCCCTAAAAGAAATAATTTTGCTCATAGTCAGTGCTAAATCCAAAAAAATTGTTTTCCAGAACGCCGGTATCAGTGACGGTCACATAACAAGGCCTTGTCGAATTTGCGATAACAGAGTTTATTGTTTTTCTAGCCGGCTGAGTGTCTTCGTCACTAGCCGGTACCGACAAAGTGTCTTCGTCACTAGCCGGTACCGACAAAGTGTCTTCGTCACTAGCCGGTACCGACAAAGTGTAGAGTCGTACCCCGTTGCCGCGAATCTTTTATTGGCCCCTGGTTTCGAGAACGGAATCATTCAGCCGGCCGCTAGCGTTGTTACTAGACGAATGGAATGCTTATATATATGAAATTAATGTTTCGCCTTTTGGAAAGAAAATAGTTCTCTGCGGAGCATACGCCTATCGGGTGCTCCAGGTTAGTGAAACGGTCGGTAGTATCAAAGCTAGTATGGACAGAAGACTGTTCATATCTGTAAATAAAAAAATTTCTAAGCTCCTCGGAAGAAGGGTCAGCGAGATCTCTGCGTAGGGTTTCATTTGAGACATACCATGGTTAGGGATCGTAAGCTCCTGTTTTGCAGGACCTGCGCCAAGCCGCACATGCGTATTAAATGGTGGTGCGCTTGACGATCTTTTTGATAAGCCGAATTTGTTAATCAAAACTAAATTTTGAATATCTTCATAATGTATTTACACACGGTGTCCCATTACAAACTCCCTATCTAAATTTCAAAGTTTCAAACAAAAGCTGTAGGGTTTTGAAGTGGCAAAATGATGGTGACCGTGAGAAAGATTTTCAGTAGCGACCTTCAAAGTAATTTCAAGTAAATATTTTCAACTAGCGTCCCCTTTTTCACATCGGAATTGGAGAGGAGCAAATTTTACGTCCGAACATCACCTTGGCCATGAGCTTGCGCCGGCTCCATACGTTGGCCCCAACGTTGGTCGGTTAAGCTGGTGAAGCGTCCACACGTTGGTTATTATACTAGTTCCTTTCTGTCAGAGCCAACGTGAAGATGTCCGACACCGAAACCGAAATTGCTCTAAGCGCTTTTACAGTACTGATGAGTGCGTATAATTTATATTTGTTATTGAAAAAAAGTAAAAAGCCACGTCAAAGGAGATGGTGGATGACAACGCATCATAAAACTCGGTACCAGTAAGTACAGACCATACACTCCATTCTAGCAGCTTTTTACAAGGCAATTTAATATTAAATTATCTAATAATGTGTATACAGTGTGTCCAAGATAAGAATGTCTATCATGAGGATCTTGGAAAACAAAAGTGATACGAAGATGATTAAATTTCAAGCCTAACAATATGCCGTTTAGAAAGTTTTAAAATTCCGAGTTGTTCCGGACGTATGCCTAAAAAACCGAAATTTGCCGATTTCGTTTTTATTTTTTTCTGACGTTATTTAAAGAGATATGGAAAAATAAAAGACACTTTCTTATGGCTACTTTTTAAGCTCTACAAAACAGCGTTGAGAGATTTTCGGCACGACGTTTCGCTTCGGAGAAACCATCACCAACTTTATTTTTTATATGGCGCGTAAAAAAGTATGCCCTGTATTAAATAGCATTTTTTAGGCATACCTCCGGAACAACTCGGAATTTTAAAGCTTTCTAAACGGCATATTGTTAGGCTTATTTTAACCATCCTCGTATCACTTTTGTTTTCCAAGATCCTCATGATAGACATCCTTATCTTGGACACACTGTATACACATTATTAGATAATTTAATATGAAACTGCCTTGTAAAAAGCTGCTAGAATGGAGTGTATGGTCTGTACTTACTGGTACCGAGTTTTATGATGCGTTGTCATCCACCATCTCCTTTGACGTGGCTTTTTCTTTTTTTTCAATAACAAATATAAATTATACGCACTCATCAGTACTGTAAAAGCGCTTAGAGCAATTTCGGTTTCTTTTTTAATTCCTCAATAGAATAAATCATTTTCATATTCTGTTGAATATTGCGCCATGCATCGGCTACTAAATTTCTATTTTTATGGTCCTTGCGAGCGGCGTTCCATATTATTGGATGCGCCTGGTATAACTCTAACAATTCTATAACTTTTTCGTTTGTCCACGCGGGTAGCGATAATGTTGATATATCTCCACATACGCACTTGACGCGTGTTACAACAAGACTGAGCCAGTGAGCCAATATGTGGACGGATTGCCAACGTTGGCGCAGATTCCTTTGATAAAACCGACAATCGACAGCCAACTACCAACGGTCGCTCCAACGTTGGGCCAACGCTATTTTCTAGATACACACGTTGGGCGAGTGGCGTTGGGGCCAACGTTGGGGCCAACGTGTGGAGCCGGCGTTGATCATTAACTTCAAGGCCATTTCAGGGTCAAATAAAGAAAATGAAAACAATTTGCTCTGGCAAGCACGTCCGACAGCACAGTTGTGAGGTTTGTCAGGATGACGCAAATGTGTATTTTAGAAAAATTATCTCAGACGGATCTGTGCAACTTCAGCAAGCTTCTGCCTTGAAGCTGCACGTTGGAGATGCTCATTTAATGGACTTACTTCACAATCAGTTAAACAACAGCATGAAGTTCAAAGCCTTGCGAAATGTAATTTCTCAAGCAGCCCTGCGGAGACGCAAGAATACAAGCCCGTCATTTCTAATGAATAGCTTACGTTGATGTACAACGAATTGTCAGGTCTTCAACCCCTTAGGGCCGTATCGTCAGTCGTTCCTACAATTACTGTAGGACACCTTTATAGTCCTTGATTTCACAGTCTTTTCTCTCCTTCAGAAAGGCTGGGGAATTTATAGATTTCTTCTGTTCTGTGTCAGCTTCAGCGCTCTCGTATGGTGAGGCTATGTTTCCTTTCTGGATTGTAGGAAATTTAAGGCTACAAACAGATGATATAAATCAAAAGCATGAATAATTTGATGCAAATGGATATTTTTAGCACAACCTCAAAATAGAGCGTTGACACGGAACGGTAGAAAACAATGCAAATCAAGGAGGCCATAAAGGCGTCTCACAATCTATACAGGGTGACTTTGAAGTTGAGTCATTAATTTTCAGATAATGATTGTAGAAGGAAGATAAACCAAAATATGTGTGTGAAAATAAAAAAAAAATTACCTTTTAATTTTATAAAGAATCCTCCCGACAAGTATTTCAGTGCGGACCTGTATTTGATCGTGAGGTCTTGGAGCACCGGCATGCCGTCCCCTGTGAGGTCTTAAGTCACCTGATTCACGAGCCCGTTGTACTACATTAACAAAGGCACGAGGGGTTGGTTGCACTCGATTGGGAAACCGATCCGCATAAACATGTGCCATTTTTTATTTCGTTTGAGCCACGCAACAGACACCACTATTCACTCACGCGTTACCGACTGACACTGACTGTATACAACTGAATAAAATAATTGTAAAAACATCGTTCCAAATTCTTTCGCTTTTTTGTTTCCGATGCGATGAACCGATAAGGCGGATTATATCCGTTGTTGCCAAACACGAGCACATAATATTATTATTGAGACAGGGCGGTACTCAAACTTCCAAGGGGCTATAACTTTGTTACTTTAATTTTACCAGAAAAATGGTAAAGGAAAAAACATTTCTTTTGATCAGATCTACTCACTGTTAAAATAAATGACTCAACTTCGAAGTCACCCTGTATATACAAGTATATATATATACTTTACCGATTTCACTGATCTTTTTTTTAGTTTCCTAATGCTGTAAAGAAGGTTCTTACGGAAAGAAAAATCAAGAAAATTGCGCAGAAAATTGGGAAATTATTGAAAACCTAATGATTATTAAAACTACGTGCGTTTGACAGTTTGCTTGAGCATGGAGCACGCACAGCAGAAGAAATATCTCAAGTACAAAAAGATACAGGCACTCCTCTCCGCCATCCTGATTAAACATCTATTGACAGATAGCTATCTGAGAGAAAATTGCTTGTGAAAACACGGTGCTTTCGTTTTTGGACTTTTCTTTACCATCCATACTTTGTGATGGTCCTTCAAAAGAAACTACAGTGTTGCCTAATTGTTATCTT